TAAAAACTTTAGGATTTTTAAGAGAACATTTTTAAAACTTTTAGGGTATTTAAGTGCTGCCAAAACAAGTTAGGATATATAAATAAAAGTTTTAAAAACTTTATGATCTATAAGTGCTGCCAAAAACTAGGAAGAGCATAAAATTGCAAAATAAGGAAGCTATAGGATAAAATAACATATTTATTGGAATCACCAAATTAATCCTCTAACCTGAGTACTCTTGCTGCCTCAAAATTTGGTTCTAAAGGATTAAATTATCAAATTGGCATATTTCATTGATTCTAAGTATCAACCTGGTATATATATTTTTTCCAACGATGATCATGTATATAAAGGGGGACACAATGACAATAAGGTCTTTTTTTGGCTGGAGTACCTTCTATTCTCTGTTTATGTGTCATAGCACGTGCAAGCCGTGAGACTCATCGAGAGCGACTCGATGTTGGCTAAAATTCACTGTCAAAATGCTAGCACTAGTTACTCTTAGGTCTTGGGCTTTTCTCTATTTAAGCCACTAATATTTTTTCACACTAGTTTATGTGGGACTAAAGTGTGGGGATATCACAATCATCACACCTTACAAAGACGACGTCCCTCGTCATCATGACATGATAATTGGCACATCCTAGTGTCACTATCAGGCAATGTGGACTCTAGAGGTGGTTCCTACGGGCTCTAGAGGTGACTCCCACCGCATTCACGCGGTGTAACACTTAGCCCCGTATAACACTTACCTCCACACTTCCGGCTGGCAACTTGTCTGATAACTTTAGTCACGCTCCGAGCTCATGGGCCCATTAGCGCATGCAAGCTGTGGGACCCACCGCGAGCGACTTGATATTGGCTAAAATCCATTACCAAAACGCTAGAACTAGTTACTCTTGGGCCTTGGGTTTTTCTTTATTTAAGCCACTATCATTTCTTCACAATAGTCTATGTGGGACTAAAGTGTGGGGTGTCACATTATGTGAGGGAGAGATATATTCTATTCTAAATTACAAATATTTCCTAACCTAATTTTAATTGTCCTAACTCAAATTTAATCTTTGGTAGAGGAAGAACACCTAATTTAATTTGCATTCTTTTAAGCCCTAATTACAAAATAAAACAAAAAAACCTCTTTTCAGCTTAAATGAACGAGCCTAACTACCTGTCATGCATAAGCCACATCGAAATCATATGACGAGCCATGTGACTTTTAGTCGTTGAAAATTTTTCTCCAGCCAAAAGATATGCTTTGTCGTAACTGTTTTTCACTTTATATATCTTATCATCGCCGGAGTAAAAAAATATACCAAGTTATATTAGAATCAATAAAGTATACCAATCTACTTAATTAGCATTTTTTAAAAGTTCTCGAATAATTGATGAATGCTATACAGTCACGTCATCAGTTAAACGGGTCAGGTCAAATTAGGGTTTGACCCGAGTTCACATAATTCGATAGCCGACCCTCCCCCATCTCTTAAAGCCTGTATCTCCGCCAACCCTCGTTCTTCTCCTAAAACTAGGAAAGTTAATTTATGCCCATACCCATTTACCCACCCAGCCCGCCCATCACTTGGCCCACTCAAAACTCACCTAGTTAAACTAGTTGAGATACACGTGCAATGCACATGGTTGAATATGATGATTATTTAAATTGATAAAAATTGAATAAAAATAAAAAAATAAAGTTTTTTGTGAGATTGATCATCAACTCAATAATCTCTCTCTCAAATAAAATATTGTCATTGTTTCCTTTAACTCAGACTGTGGCCACATGATATACTATTTGTGAGTTATAAACACATTGATCTAGTATAACATCTCCGTTTATTAGTATCTTGAAGTCTTCAAAAGATGGGTGATCATTCAATTCGCAAAGGAATTTTGCATATGAATTTACTTGCAATATGTCCATTAAACATTTAGTTGTAGTTTAGCTTATATTCACATTAACTTTTAGTTGTGATTTCATTCATATTTATATTATCTAATATTCTCATTCAATTTTATAGCTCATTCTCCTTATCATAGAAGTAAAATTGAAAGTATAAAGAATTATTTTATTACGAAATTAGAGCAGCGAGATTATGATATTCCGTCATATGCTCTGAATATAAAAATTTCTTTTTTCTTTGATGCAAGGTCTCTATCGAATCTTGCCCCAAACGATGTGAATGAAAAATGCTATTATAACTCACTTGCCTAGGGTAATTGTATTGTATATATGACATATAACTTATCTGGAATATCCACATCTGCTAAATGGATTTTGCTCTTGTGAGAGCAAAATGTTAGAGGCTCGTATTAAAACTTTTTGACTCTATAAAAGACATATGAATTTGGAGTGCATAGCTTATATATCGTAAAGAACATACTGGTTCACGAATAATTTTTCCTAATAACGATATTATTACAATAATATTACTATTTAGTATTAAATCAATTTTATTATATAAGATTATATGAACATTTTTAATAAATTATAAAGTATATATATGAAAACCTCGATTCTTATAGTCAATAGTTGGGCTCCACAAAATAGGTTAACTTTACATTGTAGTTTGCTATTAGTAATATTGTTAGCAATATCATTACATTTCCTCTTTATCTTATTATTCAAGCTTTTCTGATGTAAGTTCTCTTTTGCTAATCACTCAATTGGTTATATTTATTTTTATAATATCAGAGGTTAGAATATTCTCTTCTGTTTAAAAAATATTGACATAATTTTCTTAAAAAAATATATACACAAAGTAGCAATAATATATACTTCAGTTCAACTCAAACATTGGTTTGAAACCATTTAGAGTGAGGTCCTTTCTACGCTAAAATAGCGATATAGTGATTACACAATCCAAAAGTCAAAAAAGAAATTTCTATAAAGGAAAAGTAATTTAATATGTCAAATTAACAACTAATTTATAAAATATACATGAGCAATGCAGATAGTTATAGAAAGTAAGGTATATATATTCATGGAAATTCCATAGTGAGTGACCAACGACAATCATCGTAATTTAAGCATAAATAATTATTATTTTAGTTACTAATTTGATACCTGTAACTATGGAACAAATCTCAAGCAAAAAATAGGAATAGAGATTGTATTGTCATCTAGGTAAATAAATAAATGTTATTAGAGCCCCTCTTTATATTAAATTTAGAAGTAATAATTTTTTATTAAGCGCCAAATATTAGTTCATGTGAGAAAGTAAAGTAATCTATGGTCTATATATATAGTCAATCAATCAAACATATTAAAATTATATGGCAGATTCACATTAAATATAATTTATAAAAAAATAGTACGTTAAAGTCAAAATCATTTTAACCAATGTATAGATTGTCTGAAATTTTTTGCATATATAAACTATACCGTCTAGGAATAGTGATGTGCACACTTAACTATGGCGTAATACATCTTAAGAACGACTTACTCGTTAATATCATCATTAATTGACGTATCTATGCATTACATTGAAAACACAATGAAAATTTGGAAAACTATAAAAGAAACACCCTTAAAAGTTTTAAAAATTGTAAAAACACCCTAAAATTTTATAATTTACAAATACACAAAACTATTAAACATTACATTGAAATTAAGGAATTACAAAAAATCATTGGAAATTTTTAAACTTTAGAGGGGTAATTTGCAATGTACTAAACTTTAAGGGTTTTTTTTGTAAATTTTAAATTTAATAGATTTTCAATTAGTTATGTTTTTTTTCAAAAAATTTATAGGTAATATTGACCATGAAAAGTTTTTCCTAAACATATACTTTTAAAGGGAGTATGACGTTTTCTGCAAATTTTTAATTTTCTGGGGGTCGTTAATAATTCTGTATATTCATTTTAGTGCTATAAGTTAGAAATTCTAATGATGCTTTTTATAAATTATGAATTTTAGGTGTTTTTGCAACTTTTTTAAACTTATAGGCCTTTTCTATAGATTATAAATTATTTATAGACTATTTATATTTCGTATGTTTTCAATTTACTAATGAGTTAGAAATTCTTTGGGTGTTTTTTTATAAATTTTGAATTTTGAGTGTTCGTTTGTAATTTTTGAAATTTTAGAGGTTTTTTCTATAAATTATAAATTATGTAGGGATATTTGTAGTTCTCTACGAACTAAAATAAGTAAATGATTTGAATTATATCAAACATATCTCATTTATCCAATAACATGTTAAGTCTCATTATGAATATGATAAAACATTTAATTACCAATTTAAAGAAGATAGGATAATTAGAATAGATTAGGATATCAATGTAATATTTTTTTAAAAAGTTAATGGTAATATTGACCATGAAAAGATTTTCCTGAACTCGTACTTTTAGGGGGTGTTTGGTTGCACAATTTATAGAAAAGTTTTCTCAAAATGTCTGACAATGTCAATTCTGTAATTAAAAATTTTCTGTAGATTTCCGTAAAGTGTGTTTGGTTCAAAAAAATTATAGAAATATTTTCTATAAAGTACCAAAAAATACCAAAATTTACTGAAATCAATTTCCTCTCAAAATGGACGGAAATCACCCTGAAATCTGACACCACATTGACATTTTTCTATAAAGTTGACACTTTTCTATAAATTTAGGGGGTGTTTGGTTTAATTTCTACAAATTATAGGAAATCTTGCTATTTTCTATAAAGTTATGGGCTATTTTCATGTTTTGAACCAAACAAGGAAAGTAAAAAAACAAGAAAATTGGTACTTTTTGACTTCGCAAAATTTTTTCTATAATTTTTTAAGAAATACAAGGAAATCATATTTTGTGCGGAAAATATTTTCTATAATTTGTAGAAATTTAACCAAACACCTCCTTAAAGAAAGTATGATGAGTCTAATTGGGCAGGCGTATTTCAAACTATCATAAATGGGTATGATGGGTCTAATCGGGCAGGCCTATTTCAAACTATCATAAATGGGTATTAAATGGGCGGTGTACGTAGACCCGTTTGCCCGCCCGTGTTCCCAAAACCAAAACCCTATAAAAACCTAAATCTCTTCTCTTTCTCCTCGTCGGTCTCAATCCCGACCCCAACCCTCCTCCTCCACCGCCTCAACCGCCTCTCGAACCCAGATCCCCCGACGCTAATCTCTCCTCCTCCGCCTCTTCCTCCGCCGCCTCAACGGCCTCTCGAACCCTGAAAGCATCTCCTTCGCCCAAAACCCCCATCGCGACTCAAAAGCCCCAATTTGGCGATCCCTCTACTCCCTCCACTTTCGTCGCTCGACGCTCTCCCTCTATCTTTTGACGACGGGTCTCTCTCAGAGAAGGGAGGAGGTGCTCGCGCTTTCTCTCTCTTTCTCTATCTCAGATAATTTTTTAGTTTTTTATTGGATTTTTTATGGGGTTGTCACTAATTTCTTAGCAATAAGCAATGCTGATTGTTAATGATGATGAATGATTCCAATTCCAGGGCAAACTGGGGGAATCTCCTTCTTGGATTCGAGTAGCTAATATATCTTTGCACTGATATATTATTACTGATTGTTATTGGATTTGATAGGCTGCTTGAGGACTGATATATCTTTGCACTGATACATTATCTCAACCAGTAATAGTATTCAATAAACTAGTATAAGTTCCTGTCATAATTCAATTTCAGGGGCATCATGTGTTTCCTGTAAAGGCCATATCTCATAAGATTTAATTTAGAAATCTATCAATTTTCATTCAAGTGCAAATGGAAAGATGAAATAAATGAACTGATGTATACTTGGTGAAATAGTTGGAATAGTCTTTTTTACATGGAAAAATGAATTAATTTTGAGCAATGAAAATTGCTTTAATTACTTCTGCTATTACTAAATCGGTTAACAATGCGCTTGGTTGTATGTAAGAAATGCTGATTATTCCAACAGATATTATCAAAATAAACATGTATTTAGGTTTCATTGCCAACATGAATGATCAAACTTTGTTAATTATGAAAGTATTGGAACCCTTTTTTACCCACTTGATCATATTTAATTAGGACCATAATATTGGTTGTCTATTTGTTCTGGAACTTTGTTAATTATGAAACTAAATAAGATCTTAATTATGATTGTAATCCAGTGGTTTGATTGAGCTAAAACTGACTTTTATTTCTGTATATGCTCTTGTCCAACTTATAAACAAATGATTTGTGTCGTTTTTCTCCTTTCCATAATAGTTTTGGACGGCAAGAATCATGTAACAATGTCAACGGCAATTTTCTGGTAATCACAATAATGTGCTGATATTATATATTAATATTGAGAGGCCTGTTTAGTTGTGTTTAAAGCAACAGCCTAATTAGATGCTACTTGTTTGTTACACGAGACATTATTGGTTGAATCATGAAAACCCTTGTCTTGATCTAAATGGGTTAAGAGAGAGATTGGAGCAGCAAAATGATATATATTTTTGTTTCAATTTTATATTAGATGAATTTTCTAGCATTGGTTAGATTCATTAGGGATAGTTTCAATTTACATTTGACATGAATTGGGTGATTAACATGTATTCATCAGATTTACGCATAAGTATCCATATGTATACATTTTATTTATTTATTGGATCAGCTCTTGGCTATCTGCATATGTTATTTTCAATGGAGGATATATCCATTTATGCATTTTTTTAGATTTTTCCAGGGGGGGGTGCACATCATGTCCTTAGTTTAGTTCAGATGAATAAAGTCATCAAATTTTGCAAAATACTGTAATTCTAATAGTTCTATGTGCTAATGGGATTGGTGGACTTCCGCTGATTTAACAATCTAATGATTGTTTTTTTTGTCTTTTTAAGAGGGTTGATCATCTATAGGAAAGGGAAGATACAATACATAATTTTCGTCGACAACATTAGATTCGAGTATTATGTGGTGACTTGGGCTAAAACCCTGCTTTCTTCTCCTCCTCCTCTCATGGCGACTTCAAGGTTGCAGTCCGTGAAGTGCCTGGATACTTCCTCAGGCCCAAAGCGATTCACTGTAAGCTCTCTCCCTAAACCCTACTTCTCCTGCAATGTTATTTCTTTCAATTTATCATCTTTTTGTTTTCCCCCCCAGTTCAAGAGCATCTCCCAGAGAATCAAAGAAATCGACATCAATGTCTACAAGAGCCTCGACCCCTTGAGGTCCGAGCCCAAAAGCTCCTCCTTTTTCCTCGACAGTCTTTTGTATTGGCGAGTAAGTTTCATTCCCTTAAACCCTAGGGTCAGCGGCATAGCCATAAATTGAAGCTTGGAGGGGTTGTTTCTCCAATTCTCCTCTTCAAAGAGTTGTGTGTTTTTCCGAGAGAATTGTGCCATATGTTAAAAACTATTATATTTGAGTTAAAATGCTGAGTGAAAATCAAGAATGAAACAGTAACAAGGAAATTTTAATTAATACTTTCCTTTAGGCTAATTAGCACTTAACTACCTTATAGTTTTTATTTGTTTGTATATATATACCCTACTTGTTTTTGGCAGCGCTAATATGCCCTTAAGTCTTTAGAATTGGCACTTTCATACCTGTCGTTATGCAAAGGTGAGAATTTTCTTCTTAATAGCTCAATGTGACTCTCACATGCTAATTTTAGAACTTTTTAAACCATAATGTTTATTGAATTTACTATTTAACCTACTCGAGTAATAGTTCCATGGGTTTACAATGGAATTGAGGTAGTTTTAATAGTAAATTTAACAAATGTTAAGATTGAAATGTTCTAAAATTAGCACATGGGTGTCACATAATAATATCTAGGAGAATATTCTTATGTTTGCATAATGGCAGGTACTAAAGTGTCAATTTTAAGAACTTCAAGATACTTGCTATAAAAAGCAAGTGAGGTATATAAGGGCAAACAGGAGAAACTAAAGGTACTTGAATCCTAATTAGCCTTCCTTTATTATCACTTGCTAAGATAGCTAGCTACATATAAAAATTGAGCAACATGGCACATCCCAAACTAAGAGATCAGCATGTGCAGCTTTCTTAAATTCAGAACATAGATTGGCTTTTTTTTGGGGTTCCCCCCACTCTCTCTGTTGGTGCCTAGCCTTGGGTTCTAGTTGCTTTTTTTTTATTTGGAGTATGAATTTTTTTTTGGACTTAGGAACTGAACACCGCAGAGGACTTCATCTCGTTTTATGAGGAGATGATGCCTTTAGTCCAGACGATGCCGCAAATTTTATTCCACAAGGATAAAATTTTCTCCGAGCTTATCCGGAGAGTGAACATGAAAGCGCAGTTGTCCCTCGAACCGATACTGATGTATGTATGCTTGTCAAACTCTGCTTTCTAGGTGCAGTGCTTATTACATAGTTTTATTACCTGGTAGCATTGTATGCCATAACAAAGTGTAAAATTTTTGTATGTAGTTTGAATATGCTATGATCTAGTGGAACAAAATGCATGCTTGCATAATTTGTTGAGAATCAGATAAAATTATCCTTGTAAATGATTAACATAGATGTTGAGCCAAGTCTTTCTTGGACTAACCTTTAATTATCCATGATTTTTTGCGTAGAGGCGGTGTTCACTTATCTGTTGCTTGTTTGAACCTGTTTCACAATAATAACAGAGTTTGGCGTGTAGATTAGCTTTTCTCAGCAATAGTCTTCAATGGCTCTGAACTTAGGTCTTGAAACTGTTATGTAGGCGGTATCTTCTCATGATTATTAGTTGTGGTGAGGATCTACAAATTGGTAATCTAGGTAGCCTTTGGTTGAATGCTCATCACATTACTTACAAAGTTATCAACTTTTAAAGTTATATTTTACCGAACTATTCAATCTTTTGAGCTTACATTCCTTCATAGGGCATAATTGTTTATTCTTTTTATTTCTTATCAAATGTCTTGGAGTTTCCTTAAGATTTACCAACTTGGAAATTTTATCTTTAACTATTTTGTGCTGGAGTTGTGGCTTACTGCAGAAACGTTTAACATGCATTCCCTCCCTTACAAGTGTAAATATTATTAAAGGTGAAGGAAGCATGGCATACCCAAACTTTGTCTGAAAATTGTCATGTGAAATTAAGTTAACCTCATCATAGGGTTCAAGCTTGTTAAATTTTTTCCCCGTCTGAAAATTGTCATGTGAAATTAAGTTAACCTCATCATAGGGTTCAAGCTTGTTAAATTTTTTCCCCTCCAGAATTTGGTATAATTATGATTGCACATGAGTTTAGTCCTGAGCTTATGCATCTAGTCTTCAACATGGATTCAACCATGAGTTGCTAAATATATGCAAGGTCATCCTAAGTAATAATGTTAATCACAAGAATCCATTGACAACCTTTACAAAGGAAATTTACCTATTGCAAGTTAATTGTATATTTGGCGTAATCTAAGATCTAGGTCTAGAAGTTTGTTGGCGTTATTGCTTGACTATTGAAGAACTATTGCATCACCAACGAGCAAAAATCAAACTTTTATTGATGGGCATTGCTGCCATAGCAAAGAGCATATATAATGTAGGTTCACTGCACTTTTTTGGGTGTAAATGGTAGATGGGGGTGGTGAGTTACGGATTTGTGATTCAGGTCAATTTTAAGACTAGAAGTACATAAATGCAAACACTTGAATACTGGATTTGTGATTCAGGTCAATTTTAAGACTAGAAGTACATAAATGCAAACACTTGAATACTAATACATATGCAACAACAACAATTAAATCTTATGTACATAAATGCAAACACTTGAATACTAATACATATGCAACAACAACAATTAAATCTTATGTTAGAAGTTGATTTTTGATTCATAATGTGGAAACATATTTTGTTGACACTTATTACCATATTTATGAAATGAATGTGAATGTTAAATGTTTCTAGAATATTAATTTATATTATCCAGGAGAGTAACTCCTTATATTTGCATTCCTAGTTTGTGCTAGTCCCCTTTTCTTGTCAATTTCATCCAAGCTGCTCAGTAGAAACTGAACAAATAATAGATATTCTGAACTTTTTATGAATTATTTGTCTGATTGAATTGTGCAATACTCACTCCTTTTGGCTTTCCATTTGATTAAATGTGTAATATTTGTTCGTTTTGGAAATTTTTACTTGTTTATATCTAATACATATGTTCTTTTATTGAATTTTACGTGTGTTGTTTGTTTGTTTATGCAGGTTAATAGCTAGTCTATCAAGAGATATCCTAGAAGAGTTCTTACCGTAAGCTTTCTCACCTTGTGCTGTTCTTCTAAGTCTCTGTGCGGCCTTTGATTCTACTATCGGAAAACTTCTTTTTTCTTCTATGATTGGCATGTGGCATGCACAAATTCTTCATCCTAAAGGAAAAAAGGGTTATATTTTCATGCACATTTTTTATTGATAACTTGTCCTGGTAAAGTGTAAGATGAGAGTTATTGATGTATGATGCATATGCATAACAAATGTGTAGTTGGAGACAAGCGTTAGAAAAAAGTTTATAATTAGCTGGACAAGACATAATATGAGCTATGCAGTTACCTCAAAATTAAAAGAAGAAATTGGGTTTAATTGTACGCAATGAACTATATGGGATAGATTGTTATCAATAGTTTGGATCAAGGATCCATCATGAAGGTGAAATGAATTAAAGTGGAAGTTGTTCATGAAATCAAAGTATAGTTTGGATCAAGGATCCATCATGAAGGTGAAATGAATTAAAGTGGAAGTTGTTCATGAAATCAAAGTAGGATGCTCACTCATAGAAATGCTTTTGAGTGAAATGAATTAAAGTGGAAGTTGTTCATGAAATCAAAGTAGGATGCTCACTCATAGAAATGCTTTTGAAACCTTTAGTACTATGTGTATGAGGAACACTTATGAACTTGAAGGTAAAATCTTATTATATGACTATTCAACTAGCCTATAGACTATAGTTTAGAGTGTTGAACTATTAAGAAACATGATCAGAAAATGAGTGTAATTATGAGAATACTGAGATGGATGAATGATAATAAATGCAAATAGATATTATAGTAGTCTAGTAGATGACTGGATTTGTTAAGATTTGGAATTAGGGGGTGTTTGGTTCAATTTCTATAAATTATAGGAAATGTTTTCCAGCTAAAATATGATTTCCTTGTATTTCTTAAAAAAATTATAGGAAAAGTTTTGAGAAGTCAAAAAATATCAATTTTCTTGTTTTTTTTACTTTGCTTGTTTGGTTCAAAATAAAAAAATATCCCATAACTTTATAGAAAATGACAAGATTTTCTATAATTTATAGAAATTGAACCAAACACCCCCTAAATTTATAGAAAAATATCAACTTTATAGGAAAGTGTCAATGTGGTGTCAGATTTCTGGGTGATTTCCGTCCATTTTGAGAGAAAATTGATTTCTGTAAATTTTGGTATTTTTTTGTACTTTACAGAAAATATTTTTGTAAATTTTATTTGAACCAAACACAGTTTACAGAAATCTACAGAAAATTTTTAATTACAGAATTGCCATTATCAGATATTTTAAGAAAACTTTTCTATAAAATTGTGCAACCAAACACCCCCTTAGCTGCAGAGGTAAATTGAGGGAGAACTAGCTGCTATAATTCATATATGCACAATGGAGACATGGATGTGTCAATTAGGAGTGAAGGGGTCCTCGTCTGAAGCAATATGGATAAGGGGCTAGTGACCATTGACTGGGTCAGTTAAAAGGGTTAAGGTAGCTGTTAATCGAGTCAAATGGGATATGACTGGAGAAATGGATTATAGTGGTCGGTCCACAAATTTGGGATATGTGCTTTTTTGATATTGTAAATTGATGTCTGTCAGCATGAAACTCCACTGTCCTTGATGTCTTGATGATCTAGTCCTCAAGATTCTCAATTGATTTATTCTTTTTATGTCAGGTTTCTGCAAAGGCTTACAGATTGTGTGGTCAATCTCCTCACAAATGGTGGTCGTTATCATCCAAACATCCTTGAGCAGGTTCAACTTGTGTTAAATGTTTTTTATTGATATATTTAATATTATAACTCAGCGAGATAATTTGATTGCAGGTCTTTACATCTTGGCAATATATAATGATGTATCTCCAAAAATACCTTGTCAAGGATGTCGTTGATGTCCTGAAGTGAGTACCTGTTTATAGTAAAAATATTGTACGTTAAATCTACTTATGTGGTTAGCACTGTTATAAATAGTGGTAAATAACCCCGTAATAGCAGCGCTAATAACGTTAGCGGTCCCTTCCCGTTATGCTATCGCCCAATAGCGTTGATATATTGCGGAATATGCGTTTTTCATTTGCAAAAGCGGTCAATAGTGTGCCATAACAGTAAATAGTGGGCAATTGCATACGAAATCCGTTTTTTGACTGCTATTTAAAAGCGGTTTGAGGTTTATTTTTTTAAAATTAAACCTGACCCTTGACCATTGCATTCTACCGTCTCCTGTGATTTTCGGCATACTCCCGCCACCTCTCATAGCCTCTGGCACCTACCTCAGTACTTCCTCTCACCTCCTTCACTGTGAGCTCCTCTTAGGGCAGTCTTCTCACCGCTCAACTCTTCTTCTCGAAGACGACGACTCTTTGACTCCAATCATCTTCGGTGTTACGTGATGGTTACATGTCTATTTTATGTTTAGGATCTCTTTGAATCATCAAACATGTACTTTTAGATTTTTCTTTAATCTTTTTTTTTAATATTTATACATATCTAAATTAGATCGCTATTTGACTTTGCGCTTTTTACCGTTATTTTGCCGCAATAGCCCCAAATAGCCTTAGCGATGCCTCACCGCTACGCGACTCTATCCGCTATCGATATCCTTGGTGGTCAGATATCAAACTTCAGTGGTCAATATGTTACATGCTGACACATGCATGCATGTGTGTCAGAGAGTGTATGCATGTGCATATGTCATGCGCATGCAACTGTGTTATTTATTTATTATGGATTGAATTTATCTTGTACTGTAATGCACTTCATTTGACTTTTGTTCTAATTTTGTGATACAGGATTACAACCCGATTAAGATATTTTGAAAATGACCATGTGCCAGACTTCATGGCTGAAGCTGTCTCATTTTTGCTGAGAAACTCGTCAGTTATGGAACTTAAAAAAGGTATTACAAGTATACTATTTGGTCACTTATTTTTCCACCATTTTGGTGAAATTTAATTGTTTTTTCTACACGTAGTGGGCGAAATTTGTTTGCACTGGTTGTATCAATTAATTTATTCTGTCTATAATGCTAAACTTGCCAATCTATACATTTAATACACTTGGTTCCGTAAGCTTCTCTGACTACATGCTAATCGTTGCAACAGTATAACTAGAGCAGCAAGCTGAATGGAACCTTTTAACTTTTCTGCAGATGCAATGTGATACTAGATTTTGAGTACCACAAAGCACAAATGCTCCAAATAGTTTATTATTACTACACCAGTATGATGAATGTGACCATTAACTTACCTTTAACTTTTCTTCAGATGCAATGTGAACTAGATTTTGAACACCACAAAGCACAGATGTTCCAAATAGTTTATTATAACTACACTAGTATGATGAATGTGACCATTAACTTGTCCATTGATAAAGTTTGCCACTAAATTCTTAGTACCACAAGACATAAATGTTATAAACACTTGAACACAAACGGTTATCATGAAGTTATTGTGTCAGATGTCATTCAGTATGGGACATGATAATTGTTCCGTACAGCATACCTTTCCATAGTCCTGCAAGAGCAACACATTCAGCGACTTGTACTTTGTTCTTCATTCTTCTCCCACCAACTTTTTCTCAATCACAGTGCAGATTGTAATTTTGTGGCTTCATTTATTTGTGGATAACTGATAGCACTTTAATAGCTCACAACTTATCACATTGGACTCGTATATGGCAACTCTATTAGAAGCAGGAAACTCAACTAATGGTTGAGTCATCTTGATCATACTTTTTCAAGATTGTATCTTATTTTTATGTGGATATATGGGCGCATAATTACTGTAGCACCTCGGAATTGTTTGTTTAGCAAAAAAAAAAAGGTCATTCCATATAATAAGCATTGCTAGTGAACTCACATCTTTTATTCGTAGTCATAACTCATTAGAAAATGGTATTCTTTTTGGTGCAGGTCTGAGAATGATAGTCCTAGAAGTTGCAGAAAGTCCATCTGCAATTAAGAAGCGTGGGGCAACTGCTTTGCTGTTTTATGTTCTCAAAGGAACTTCTTCAAGACTTCATTCAAGAGCTGAGAAAGTATTTCGGTGGTTGATTGACAAATCTTTCCTCAGCCTCAGTGATGAATCCCTGGAAGGCAAGTTTACTTGCTGAGAACACATATTGGTTATTGTTTCCTTAATTTACTTATGCAGCCATTTTCTTTAGTTCATTTTATCAATTAACACCACGATACATTATTCTGTTAAATAGGAACTGGTTTTCCACTTCTATTTGCATCTCTAATCAGCAAAAAATAACATGACACAGCAAAGACTTTTATAAGTTTAATTGCAGCAGGTGGATGTGGTCATTTAACTAATATATTATAATTCGTCAGGAAAAAGTTGTATAGATGGCTTTCTTGATGCATTTCTTGTGAGCTAATCAATTCATCTAGTCCTATTGATTTGATGATAGTATTGTACTTAGTACGCAATCAATATAATGTCCACATACCTCCAACTATACATGGAGGACAGACCGGAATGTCAACCAATGGGATGACAAAAATATATTAAGCAAGCCTATTCGACAATCATGAATGAGATTCAAGTAGCACGGAAAGGGCAAGGAGGCAAACTAATGGATAGTGCTCTTCTCTCTTTCATGCACTTTAGATATGATTGGAGAGCAAGAAAAGAAAGGTGAGATAGTTATCAGCAAGGGGGAAGAAGTCAAGAAAACACACCAAACTGCATTAACCTAGAATTAGAAAAAGTCATCTGGCAGGTTTTGCACTAAATTAGCGAGAGACCATGATCTAGCATGGTTGCTACAAACTTCCAGCCACTTCAAGTGCTGATTCCATCCCGTTTTATGTCTTTTTTCCATGCCTTTTCCTTTATTTGTTTCGTCAATGTGGTTTATTGTTGACTTCTCTAGGTTTATCATCTGTGATTATAATGTCAATGCTTTTAAGAAAAGAAATAATATTGTGTTCCCAAGTGCATAATTCTCCGTATCATATTGGAAATTGATGATCTTGACTTTTGTTAAATTGATGATTTGCTTATGTTTCACAGGTTTGGAAGCTGTTCTTGAGGTTTCCAGTGATGTTATTAAAAGACTATTCAAGGAGGTTGACCCTACAGAGTTTGGTATGGTTTATAAATGCTTATATGAGGAAACATCCAGCTCCATAAATGATGGTTGCTTGATGCATCTTAATCGCTTGCTATCTCTTCTTACTACTACTATTTACCAGTCTAACAATACTCAAATCTATGGTGAGGGTTACATCTTTTTTCTTGATACACTCTTATCGTTTCTCAACTGATTGAGCTATATATTCATGAATTTTTTATTTAATTTCTTTTCACTTTATTTTATTTTAACAATTTCCATTTGTTATCAAAGGTCTGATCTTGCACCTTTCAATTATTCGTGCAGATAGCGAAACATTGCTTGAACTTGTCAGATTGCTTATACGGTCATACATTGTGCCTGTTGAGAATATGAAGTCAGAAGAGCATTTTTCTCAAGTCCTTAATGGGATTTTAGAGTTGACACTATGCCTTCTGGACAATCCTCTCATTTCAGACGATTTGTCAAGCATTTCTCTGGATTATGCACCTGTATTCAGGTTGAAAAATTCAGGGTAAAGTCTATAAAAAACTCTTAAAATATTCTTACTGTTCTTAACTTATTATTAATTATCATTAATATTGTTATCATCATCATCATCATTATAAATACGTGCGGAAGTTGAAAAATCTGTTGCTTTCTAATCATCATAATATTCTTGTTGCTATTGCATGAAATATCACTAACTGATTTATTAGTTATAAGTAGATTTGATCAGTGTAGCTCTCTCCGAGTTTCAGTTGTGTTACATAGCCAATCCAGTGGGAAGTTATATGCAATTTGTTTTCATCTAATGACTTGAGTGACATCTTTGGTTTCTGTAGGCTATCATTTGTAAACAGGCTTCTTCTAAAGAATCCATGTGTTGTACATGCCTTCAGACATCACATTATAAGGTATTCCAAATAATTCTGGGTTTTTTTGGGGATGACACTACTATTTAAAAATTGCTGTGCATACACTGAATGCGCTTGTTTACTTTGTTGCAGCGCAATGGCTAATTTAATTGAAGAATCACCAGAAGTGGTCCTTTTTTCAATTATTAAGTTCATTGAAGGACAGGAAAAGCTGCAACCTTTCAATAGCCTAGCTGGAATACCATCTGAAGAAATGTTAAAATTATGCAATTATTTTAAGAAGATTCTCTTTTTTTGGGTCAAGCTTTTAGGTCGCTGTACAACAGATAACAGTCTGTCTGATGCACCAGTTACTATATCCAATGTGGCTGTGCTGTGGGGAGTCCTTAGCTGCTATCCTCATTTTCAGCATTTACATGACAATGTGTCACCAATTATCGATCTAATTGTCGCTTTTGATCAAGTTCTGGAAACTGAGGCTGGTATGACGTCTATATTATTATATGATAAAACAATTAGTATCTTTTCAGAAGTTATATATATTAAAATTAAAATCTTGTTTCAGACAACATTGCAGGCATTCCAAAGTCTACATGGCAGAGTCTTCTTGGTGCTGCATTGATTTCTTATCATAAACTGCTATTGGTTACAAAAACAGGCCTTTCAGAAATAAGCACATTTCTGCGCCTAGCTAAGAGATACAAGTCTTCTTCACAAGTATTATTTGCCGTAGCTGAATTTTTGGATTCATTTATTGGGTATAGCATGTTTCACCGTCATGTTTTTCTGTTTTGTCTGGAATTCCTTGGTTACATTTGCCTAATTCATATAGCTATATATTTAACAATGTTACAGTGGTATTTCAAAATCTGAAGCACATGCCTCCCAGAACATTCGTGATCTTGATACCAATGAAGCCGTGATCGCAACTAATATATTTTCAGATAATTTATCTCTTCCAAATAAGGAAATTCGCATGTCAACACTGAGGATTTTATCCCATTATCCTCCTTTAGGTGCACCATCGGCAACAAGTTATGAGCCCCCTCATAAGAAACTAAAAACAGAAGAATCCGGTTCATGCAGTGAACTCTCCCCAAGCAGTAATGTAAGCATTTGTGTTTCCTTATTATTTATCATTTTTAGTTGAAACAGCTAACTTATGCATTATTTAATATACCAGGTTGTTGACCTTCTTCTTTTGGTTGAGGCAACTCCTCTTTCAATATCTTCAAGTAATTTAATATACCAGGTTGTTGACCTTCTTCTTTTGGTTGAGGCAACTCCTCTTTCAATATCTTCAAGTAGAAAAATTGTAAACCTCATTTCCAGGCTGCAGAAGGGACTCTCTTCCGCAAGAGTTAATCACGCGTACTTACCTCTTGTTTTAAATGGACTAATTGGTACATTACATAATAGATTGAGTTACCTATGGCAGCCAGCATCAGAGTGTCTGGCTGTTCTACTAGGAAGATACAAGGATCTTGTTTGGAATAAATTTGTTCAGCATTTGGAAAATTATCAGTTGAGATTTCTATCCTCGAGTGATGAGTTGGTGAAAATAAATTCAGAAAGTCCACAAGAAAAGAGTACGTCTCATTGCTGCTTTGCTATACTTATGCGAATATTGTTCTTATTTTCCTTTTAAATATTGTTTTAATATGAGCGCTCATAAACATGGTTTGTGACATATAAAATATTATAGCAGATACAAATTTTTTTAATGATTGATACTGATCAAATTTAATAGCTACACTTTATCTCATTTGGTAATTGTTATGCATTTCTTTGTATAATAATAGATATTTATGTCATCTCGTTAACCGTTTAATTTTTACTTTATGTTTTTTCTATGAGAATTTGAAACTACGCCCTTCTCTATAATTCTCTTCGTTGAAATATATTATTTGAAATCCATATGCTTTCTTTTCAAAACATTTAAGATTTTCGTGTTCTGTTTTTAATGTAAGGTTTGATTTGGTAGCTGTTCAACTTCATGAGCAAAAATGGGGTTTCAATATATGTTTTAAATGAACTTAAGTTATCTTATTGGTTCTTTCCCTCACAGTTGGATTTTTGCTTTGAAAATATCTGGCTGTTATTTTAGTCATTATTAAATTTTGAAATTTATTGTTCAAAGAATAATTCATCAATTCATGGTCTAATATAGGATGCTGATGGGAAACTAATATCAACAGTTGGTGCATTAATAATCAGCGTATTATATAGCTTTTCCTTACCAGTCTTGTGCTGATAGTAAAACTCTATTGCAGATCTAGTTGACTGCTTTAAACTGTTCCTGGCTCCTGATTTCGATAACACACCATGTGTGACAGTGATTAATCAATTTCTCAAGTCACTCCAAGAAGTCCATGACCTTGCAGAGTCTAGGTCTCGACAATTAATTCCATTGTTCTTGAAATTTTTGGGTTATGCTGATGATAGTCGTTCAAGGTAAAATACAAATGACGGCGTCAACATTTTTCTCTTTTGACCTGATTAAACTTTAATATACCTGTTATCTGTTATGATGGGTAATACCTTTTCTCTGGTACTTTGAGCTGATGGTTTGTTGGGTTTGACTCCATAGTGTTGAAGCATTTAGCGGCCACAGTTGTTCAGGGAAGCAGTGGAGGTTGGTCCTCAAGGAATGGTTGAACTTATTGAAATCAATGCGTGATGTTCGATCTTTATACCAAAGCCAATTTCTTAAGGAAGTTTTGTCAAACAGGTATTGCTAAATACTCTTACATTGAGTCGTACAATGTTTATCACTGAACTTTGCTTGTAGATATTTTTGGTTTCCTAGCAGCTCTTATACTGTCTATGCTGAAGGCCATCTATTCAATTTGCTTAATTTACTCATGGCTTGGTCTCTAACAGGCTTCTAGGTGAAATTGATTCTGATATACAATTGAAGGTTTTGGAATGTTTGCTGAACTGGAAGGATGAATTTCTAACCCCATATGGTCAGCATCTTAAAAACCTGATTATTTCAAAAAACCTTCGTGAGGAGCTTGCTGTATGGTCTGCTTCAAAAGATTCTCAATGTATTCAAGAGTGCCACAGGGGTCCCATGATTCCTATACTTATCCGATTGCTAACACCGAAAGTCAGGAACTTAAAAACACTTGGGTCGTGTAAGGTTAGGTTTCTTTGCCATATGTATTGTATGTGGATTCACTGAAATTTGATTCATTTTTGAACATGTTTTCATCAATATTGATCATTTCTCTTGTTCGTATGATGCAACCTTTCAGCATACAGGTGTTAGTCATCGAAGGGCAGTTCTTTGTTTCTTAGCACAACTCGATGTTGATGAGCTTCATTTATTTTTTGCTTTACTATTAAATCCCTTGCTCCGGCGTCCTCTGGCAAGTGATGTGACCAACACTCAGTTTGCTATTCCTTTTGAGAAAGATATAGAACCTCGTTCCTCAGTTCTGGTGAAATGTTCAGACACAGTGGCCCTAGGTAATTTTTCATGGAAGAAGAGTTATGGATTCTTGCATGTTGTTGAAGATATACTGAGAACTTTTGATGAATTTCACATAAGGCCGTTTCTTAACCTGTTGATGAGGGTTGTTGCTCGGATACTTGAAAGTTGCATGTTGAGCCTCACTAGTGACTCAAAAGTCCATGATACAGATATTCCGCTGCTGTCAGCCAACATGGTATAGACTCTGATCTACTTCCCTAAATTTCTTGCATGCAAACACATGTCAATATAACATTCAACTTGTCACATGGGTATAATGCTAAATGACTATTATGGAGGGTATTGTTCACTCACCTATATGTGTTGACATTCTATCTATGGTACCCAAGTACTTCTACCATGAAGTCGTATCCGTACCGATAATTGTGCAAGTACCTAGTCCCCACCCCTCCTGCGAACTGTACAGTTCATGCAAACCGATTCCTGGTACATTTGCGAACCGATTCCCTCCGATACACAAACTGATTCCCCAAAATTAGCGTCCTGCTTACAAGTATGCAGGGGCATGAAGTCCCTTTAAAGTGCACATGTGCAAGACGCAATGCAATGTGTACAATCAAGTCAATGGAGGGACACCATAGAATGTATGATTCAATAACTTTACGATCCAATGCAATGTGTACAATCAAGTCAATGGAGGGACACCATAGAATGTATGATTCAATAACTTTACGATCACTAAATACATATGTTAATAAAATGTGAAACAAAACCACGATCCTAGCGCGAACTGTGTGAAAAAAATATCAGAACAAAAAAGAAAAAAAGAAAAAGAAAACCACCCCCATTAAGAAGCATTTAAACAATTTGTATGTGAAATTTTTTGAAAAATATAATTAGCTTTCTAGTTTCTAGTTTTCTACTATACACTTTGGAAAATGGTAAGCGCACCAAAAAAAGATTTACAACATACCCTTGACCAAACTTGCGTATCGAAGCAAGCTACCCTACATTAGATTCAAATTTTCTTCGTGGCAAATTGCATAGCCGAATGTGTATCATGACCCACTACATACTGCATATTGTGTAACCATGCCCTCGCCTGACACATACCCGACGTGTTCACGTACCAAAATATCATGGACACTCTTTGAATATATGCATACATTTGTTCAGACGTACTCAATTTATGATATATGTTTTAATTTTTAAACATTCGTCATACATTTTTTGGATGCATATCCTACAGCTACACATTCATCTCTTGAAACTCGTTAGACGTGGATCTAGTTTGTTTGAGACTGTACCAAAGTTTAAAACTATGATTTTAAAGGGTTGTTTGGGTGTCTAGTTCAAAACGAGTAGTTGACTAGTTCCCAATTTATAACAATCAATTTTCCAAAAGAAACTTAGAAATGTGATAGCAAATTTAGTTCCATTAACGCATGAATTGAAAGACATGCATGAATTGAAAGACATTAATGATCTCATGTGAATTATTAATTTCAATATATATATACGTTGTCATGTCCCCTACCCTAACTTTACAATTTTACCGTGGTCCGTGTCCCCATATCTGTATCTATACCCGTACCCATTTTCATGCAACTTAGCATTGTATATTAGCATTCTATATCGGATTGCAGAAATTGAGATATGTTGTAAATTTCGTGTTGCCATATCGGATGGTGAATATCTGTATAATATAATGTCTGTAATGCAATCAAAGCATACTAAATACTAAAAAAAAATTCTACATTCTAAACATACAAAAAAGTAAATAACATATGTTGTTTTGGGTCATTAACCGATTGTAGAAACTTGGTTCTCGATCACATAAAAACAAATCATCATGAATTATTTAACAAATCAACATACATGAAATTGTGAATTGGCTATAAATATATTTGTTCCAACTAAAGATCAATTTAACCATATCTAATCTAACTAAAGAATTTTAATTTACAGTATCAATTTAATAGCACAAAACAAATCAAAATATCAACTCAAATATCTAACATAGTCCTACTCAAATATCTAACTAATATCCAAGATTAATCTAAAGTTGAAAAGAAAAACATCTTGGAGGGAGAAAGAAGGAACGACTGAGAAGGAGAGGGAGCTATTGAGAGGGAGAGAGGGGCGGACTGAGAGGGAGAGGGACTGAGAGGAAGGAGGGGGATGAGATGAGAAAGCCCTTCGTCGAATAATGGAAACCCTAGAGCTTACCGTAGTGGGAGTCAAAGAGAGTCCTCAAAGCTAGTAGGCGTCGAAGAGGAGATGGAGGCATGAAGTTGGGGGAAAAAAATCTAATCGGGTTCTAAACAATTGAAGAAGAGTTGAAAGGGTTGTTTTTTTAATGTTTTGGGTATAGGATGATTAGGATTGAGTCAGGTTTGTATCCACTTTAAAACATCCAATTAAGCAAAAGAACAAATAAATTGAAATTGCATATAATCCGCCATGTTCCCGACATCAGTCTCAAAATGCTTTAAGCTATTAAAAGTGCTATATCTTGACGGTTTGGGTTCCAATCCGTCATGCCGACATGGTGGCCGACATTTAAAGACTGACCCAACACTTCCCAATTCCCATACTCGAACCTCATGGACTATATGCATATATTTATTCAGACGTACTCAATTGTATCATACATGTTTAAATTTAAAACACTTAATTATATAATAAATATTCAAAGAAGCATAAAAATATTATAGAATTTTAATTCTTGTAACATGTAAATAAAAAAACAATTATCATCTCATGAAATCATTTAATTTCTAATGTATATGTAGTTGTGTCCCCGTATACTTTTTCCGAATTTGTGTATCCTGCATCCATATCCGCAACGTACGTGTACCCATATCTGTACCTGTACCCATGCAACTTAGCGCTCGGCTCATGTTTATTTCCTCTCAGCCTCTGTCCTTTATCTTAATTCATGTATAAGCACATAGAGACACATGAGTAATTTGCAATGACATAGATACGTGCATATGTTTCATGTTTATTGCATGTGCACGCATGCACAAATGCAAAATATTAATTAGAAGTATGAAATATATGTAAATCATGAAATATATGTTTGTTTATGCAGATAATATAAAATAGAACTACAAAATGAGGCATATTATGTAAATCATGAAATATATGTTTGTTTATGCAGATAATATAAAATAGAACTACAAAATGAGGCATATTGAGAAGTGACAATTGAGTATTGGGCCATATGTATGTACATAGAAACAAAACTTTTGTTAAGGTGTCTCTCTCTCGCATTCATTCAATTAAAAGTGGATTTGGTTTCTAAAAAGCAATGTTTAAAAAATCGGAAGCGCAAGCGAAGCGTTGGATCCTTTTATGAAGCAAGGCGTAAGGCTCAAATGTGAGGCATAAGCCTCACGAATTAAGTATATTTTAATTTATAAATTTTACCAACATATAATATATTGTGATTAAAGTTTTACAATAGATACATTCAGGTCTTGATTTGTAAATAAGAATTGATTATGCTAATATAGATGCAAATTGTACTAAACTAAGCTACACCTATCATATACATGTCTTATTTTTAGCCATATGGTCACATTGAAGACACATGAGCTAAAGTTAAATTGAAATTTTTATACACAATATATTACTTGGTGATTGCATGATCTGGATTCAATAATTGTTCTGAATGTAAGTTGAGAAGATAAAAGGCAATTTCTATATACTCTTTTCTGCATTCGCTCTTACTTGAAAAGTGAGTATTGAACTTGAATCATCGAGCTAAAAGCAGGCTTGTCCTTTTTAACTGTCCAGCTGCAGAGTCCAGCAGATCAAGCTTCTGATGAATTCTGTTTTAGTCTTGAGGCACATTCTGACTGCAGCATCATTTAACGCTTCTGGAAAATTGACTCATTATATGAAATATATAAAAGAAAAATGAAGTTATTAGTTATGATATGCTGAATAGGTGATAATTAAGGAAACAATATTTAACCATACTAATGGGACCTGCCAAACCAACTTGCTTGTTGCGCCTAACATAATTACTACATCTTACACGTTGTGTGGGGAGGATTCTGCTAGTACCTGAGCAGGCTGTTCTTTCCAGCTGCCATGGTAGCTTCAGATATCTTCTTTTACTTTTGATTTTCTTGGTCTTCATCTTAATATTTTACTTTTTTGCTTTGTGTTCTGCTGAACTTTAACCTGTTTAGACTGTCTATTATAATAGTCGTGATAACATCCTCTTTCATACACTAGTCCATTTTTTACCTTGATTATTGTTTCATATGTTCAATCATTCATGATCTATTGTGGAGTTGTAGCAAATATCTTTATAAGTAGTTAACATTGTCTTGCAGGTGAGTACATCTAATAAGCAGTACAAGGAGTTGCGATCTTTATGCCTGAAGATCATCTCTTTTGCTCTCAATAAGTATGATAGTCATGACTTCGGTTCCGACTTTTGGGACACATTTTTCAATTCAGTGAAACCTCTAACTGACAGCTTCAAGCAGGAGGCTGCCAGTAGTGAAAAAGCAAGCTCTCTTTTTTCATGTTTTCTTGCTATGAGTAGCAGCCGAACATTAGTCTCACTTTTAGATCGGGAAGCAAAGTTGATTCCTAAGATTTTTTCAATCCTCACTAGCCGAACATTAGTCTCACTTTTAGATCGGGAAGCAAAGTTGATTCCTAAGATTTTTTCAATCCTCACTGTGAGGACTGCCTCTGATGATATCATATCTTCTGTGCTTAATTTTGTTGAAAATTTGTTAATCTTGGATAATGAGTCTAATGATCAAGAGGAAAATCCAGTAAAAGGAGTCTTGTTACCTCACCTTGCAGTGCTAATTGACTGTTTTCATGGGCTTCTTCAATCCCATAAAGAGATCAGCAGGTAACTGCTTCTTCACGTTTTGTTTATTTTTGTTCACATTCTCTTTTATGCCTTATCGAATTGCAAGATATACTTTTGGGAAATTGTAGGCTTTTGCTTTTTATTTGATCATTTATTACTTATATCTTCCTTGCTTATTTTCAAGTTGTTGATATGGTTCTGTTAATTCATGGGCTCATATTTGTTATGTTTCTCTGTTCACTTGATTTAAAATATTATCAACTTATGGGCTTACCTTCGACACGTAGCTGGGAAAAAAAATATTTTGGAATACTGTTAATCACCCAAACTGTTTGTTTCTCTTTTGGGACTATTTTCACCAGTGCTTGATCTCTTGCATGGACTAGAACTTGACTAGCAGCTAGTTTTGTAATCGCCTGCAAAACTTAATCTGCACAAAGTAGGCACTATCTCAATATTCAATGGTTTAAAGATGTTTGGTAATATTGATCTGAAATTGAAATATTTACTGATGTAAAGTAGAACTCTCACTTTCAAATTTGTCTATTCTGGAAGCTTGTAGCATTTGTATGTCCATGTGTTCATAATTAGATTTTATGTGTGCGTATAGATTGATTACATGGTGCTATAATCTGATCATGCATTCGTCTTCTGCCTAACCAGACAAAACACATTCATTTGATATGTGATCAGTGTTTACAAAGTCGGTTGATTTTATCGATTTATTGTCGATATATTGGGTTTGGGGCATGCCTAATATGATTTCTACGAAAACTTATTGAATATCATTTTGGCTAAATTTTCATGATATATCGGTACAAATCCGATAAAGTGGCTAATTTCTCATAGGCTAAAAATTGCTCGATTTTCTAAAATTTATATTCTAAGTGAACTAGTTCAGGTTTGGAGACAATAACCCTCTTTTTTCCATTCCCGACCTGCATCCACTAAACAAAAACGGTGTCATCCTATTCTGTTTCACATCCAGTGATCGTGTAATGCTAATTCATTCTCTCCTCCGAATTACTCGCAAGTTACTCACTTGAAGGCCTCCGTCAACTAATTCAGTATGTCTGCTTCTATACTTAATCGACGATTATTCTTAGTGAGGCTGTGATTGTTTATTCTTTGTCACTTTTAGGGCTGAGCAGAGTCCGGTTTAAACTGATTAACCGACCGAACCATCCGATTTGGAACAGTTTTGTGTGGTTTTGAAATATACATGGTTCAGGTTGGGTTTACACAAGTTCAGTCCGTATTAACCGACCCGACCGAACACTCTTCAACCACAGAACACAGCTGTATATACAAACAGTTGACATTCCTGTTTCTCTTGCAATTACTGCGGGACCCACCCACATGATCAATTTCACCTCCCAAGTCCCAGTTCAGAGCTAGCTGTCTCGCAATTATCGCATAAAAAATAGAGAGAGAAAGGTACGTGCTCCCCAGATATCGAAACCAATTCACGCCCTCTCTCTCTCTCTCCTCTCATTTAATTAAAAATCCAACTCATTAACTTCGATGTCCATTTCTTCTCCCATCTTCCACTTCAACTCCCCTTAAGTCCTTATGTTTCGCTTGTTTTATTGTGGTTCGGTTCGGTTCAGTGCTTATTTGCGGTTCGGTTCTATAAAAAAAGGCCAAACCCGACGAACCGACCGTTTCTTCACCCCTAGTCACTTTGTGACTGATTCTTTGTGGCCAATTATTCTTTGAACAAAAATTATTCTATTCTTTTATTTGATTTTGAAGAGAGATTATTCTTTGTGACTGATTCTTCTTTTTCACTCTCAAACATGTGTTATTTACTTTCTAGTGTTTATATTTCATTAAATGTGCTTAGATTACATTTCAGGACATTATATTATATGTGCTCTCTATCCGATATGACAATCCAATTTTTACTATTTATATCCGATATATCCCCGATAAGCGGGATCCTATATAAATTTTGGTCGTCTGATATATTTCAGATAACCGGAATCCAATATGACCTTTATGTAGCATATTAACATGAACCTCTTCTCCCTTCCAACATCAATTAACTTGGCATATAATTATCCTACCACTGAGGTAGGACATTTTAGAAGGTGAATGCTACACCGTGGTTTTGATAATAAGAACAACCTGTTCTCCTATCAGCATTTAGCATTTTAGAAGGTGAATGCTACACCGTGGTTTTGATAATAAGAACAACCTGTTCTCCTATCAGCATTTAGCTTCATGGTTATTTCTCTAGGACATCAAATTTTGATAATAAGAACAACCTGTTCTCCTATCAGCATTTAGCTTCATGGTTATTTCTCTAGGACATCAAAGGAGTGGCTGCTAATCATAAATTACTTCCTTTGAAGCATTTTTCAATATTTAATCTGCATTGGAGATTTGGGACTTGCAAGATCAGTATGTTTTCTGCAGCTAGTTGTTCCAATGCATTCAATTAATGTGACACTAGTTTTAGGATGATGTTTACCTTTCTCGTAACTTATATGCCTAACATTATTTAACTGCCACTCCATGTTGCATGGATACTTTGATAAGGAGTCAATCTGTGAGGGATACATACGTAGTATTTGATGGATGCTGGTCGTCCTCTTTTTTTAATACATATATAAAGATAAGAACATACCCACGCTTATCAATGATTAAGTAGAATGCGTGCGAGTAAGATGTTAAAAATCTAAATGGCAGTTGATTGGAGATTCCATTTGATTATCTGACGCATCAAACCACTTTCTTGAAGAAGTGACCGTCTGGTTAACTATTGATTGATATAACTAGGTCATAATATATAATATTCAATATCTTGTGTCCACACATCGCAGCTACCCTTGTACAATTCTGTTATTATCCTCATTTTTTATTTCATGAGCTTAGTTTATGTTCATATTTTTGAAGAGAGTGATGACCTTGCTTGATGACAGTGAAATGTCATGGTAAACAACTGTTGCTCTACTCGCTTTGGAAACAATCCCTTATGAGCATATCTAATGAAATTTAACACTTTGTGATGCTGCCATATGCCTTTTCTTCAAAACAAAAAGACACTGGAAAGTTCCAATATTGTGATGTATCCTAAGCTTGTAGCCATGAAACATACGCATGGAACTACATTATTGTTATTCCTGTAATACGTGGAAGGTTATAATTTCAGTTTAGAGTTCATTTTACAGTTTGCATGCCAAGATATAAGTGCATTTCCTATTTTCTCATTCGCATTTTTTTCTCTATTAATATGTGAGTTCAGTAGAATCTATTTTTCTATTTTCTTTCTCAAGTTAAAATCCAAATTCAGAATGAGCAGCAAAGCTTAGTTTCAAGATTCATTTTCTTACTTTGTGTATCAGTGTAATGTTACTTTATGAATAATATGGGTACTGGTCTTGTTAATTGCATTTGCTTTATTATGATCTATAGGAAATCTCCCATGTCGTCTGGAAAGACAGAGCTGAGAATATTTAAACTGCTAGTGAAGTATGTAAATGATCCTGTGGTAGCAGAGAAATTTGTGGACATACTACTACCAATTTTCAAAAAGAAAGCTTTAAATTCTGGTGAGTGATGCTCAAATTTATGTTGCTTGCTGTCTTGAACATCTTAAATTGTTATTTAGTTCTCTGATGACTGGTCTGCTCAATAGAACTTAGTTTCACTTCTTTTATGATGTAAAAGAGAGAATCTCATATAGTGATTTACTTATTTCTGTTTTTTATTTTAATGTTGTTACTGCAGATGAGTGTTTGGATGGTTTACATATCATAAGGCAGATTCTACCTGTGCTGAGTGATAAAACAACTGGAAAAATTCTCAGTGCAGTTAATCCGCTCCTTGTTTATTGTGGTTTGAACATGCGATTGTGCATTTGTGATATTCTTGACGGCCTTTCTTTGATTGATCCATCTTTGGCATTTCTGGTAATAATTACTTCTTTCTGTACATCTTTTATATTCTTTACTTATTTGGAAAACAATTTTATTAATTCTCTTTTCATTTGTTCTGGAATTCAGGCTAGGCTTCTTCGTGAATTGAATGCTGTGTCTTATTTGGAGATAAACGAGCTTGACTATGACACAAGAATATCTGCTTATAATTCAATAAGGCCAGATATCTTCTCTTCATTCATGGAGGAACATGCTTTAACTGTACTATCTCATTGCATATATGACATGTCCTCTGAAGAACTGATTCTACGGCAAAGTGCCTCTAAGTCATTGCTGTCCTTCATACGATTTGCGGCATCAATATTAGATAGCAATGGAGAGGATTGCGAAGAGAGGTCCCCTGGTGAATTACTTGAAGGCAAAACATACCCAATTCTTGAAATAACTAATACCAATTTTACTTGGACGAAAGCCTGCATTCAGCGTATAGTTAAGAAAACTTTCCTGCAGAATATTGGTGATGCTATGTCCAAGGATATCTCAATTCAGAAAGTATGTATGCAGTTTAATGTCTTTCATCATACAACTGAGCGCATCTAATTGTTGCTTTTGGGTTTCCCTTTCAGGAATGGATTGATCTTTTTCGAGATATGGTTTATTATCTTCAACAAATCCCAGCTTTAAACTCTTTCAGAAGTTTGTGCAGTGAGGATCCTGAAGTGGACTTTTTTAGTAACATTGTTCACTTGCAGGTAACACTTACTGATTTTTTTAATCTTTGATGATATATCCTTTGATTTTCTTTATCTTAGATGATATATCCAATATCCTTTCCCCTAAAGTTTCTACTGTTGGCCGTAGACACATAGAAGAGGAAGGGCGCTATCACGATTTAGAAGTGCAATCAGTGCTGGAAGCTTGCCAGAGGTAAACAATATGAACTGATATACTATTTAGGAAGAAAAAAAAATGTAAAAATTGAGTGTTGTAGTAACTATTTAGGGAGAAAAAAAATGTAAAAAATGAGTGGTGTAGTACTAAAGTATTAAATAGTTAAGCAAAAATTATATTGCAATAATGGATTAATTAGTAACTAAATATTTTTGTGTTGTGCTAGTATAAAATTTGATTCTCCGGCTTTCAAATAATTGAGAACAAATCTTTCTTTCATAAAGACACTTTCGAGAATGGAATTCTGTAACACATTTCTCAATATTGTTACATTACATTTAATAGCTGAAGAGCTTGTCACTATCTTCTTGTAATTAATTGAAAATCGCCCAATTTTTTTTGTGTATGCAGAATATTACCATCAAGATTTTTGTTCCTCTATTTTTCAACATGATGCTTGATGTGAAGGCCGGGAAAGGGGAGCACTTAAGAAATGCATGCTTGACAACTCTGGCTTCAATATCAGGTCAAATGCATTGGGAAAACTATCGTGTATTTTTAATGAGATGCTTCAAGGAAATGAAGTTCAAGCCAGACAAAGGGAAAATCATGATACGCCTGATATGTGAAGTGTTGGACATGTTCCATTTTTTTGGTGCCAACTCCAGTTTACATGCTAAAGACGGTAGAAAAGAGGATGTTAATAATGAGAGTACTGAAGATAATTTAAGTGTTGCATTGGTTTCTTGTCCAGAATCAAATGTTCCGTTGGAAATACAAGACTGCTTGCAGAAGGTAGTCTTTCCAAAACTTACGTTGTCCAGAATCAAATGTTCCGTTGGAAATACAAGACTGCTTGCAGAAGGTAGTCTTTCCAAAACTTACGAAGTTGCTGAAATCAGACTCTGAGAAAGTCACAAGACTGCTTGCAGAAGGTAGTCTTTCCAAAACTTACGAAGTTGCTGAAATCAGACTCTGAGAAAGTCAATGTTAACTTTAGTCTTGCTGCCTTAAAATTGCTCAAGTTGCTCCCGAAGGAAACTATGGAAGCACAACTACCAAGTATCCTTCATCGCATTTGTAACTTTTTAAAGAATCGACTAGAAAGCATACGTGATGAAGCAAGATCTGCTTTGGCTGCTTGTGCTAAGGAGTTGGGGATGGAAGGATTTTACTTGATAGTTAAGGTTTTGAAAGCAACACTAAAGAGGGGTTTTGAGTTGCATGTTTTGGGATACACCCTCAATTTCATATTATCTAAAATGCTTGAAAAATCCTCTGTTGGGAAACTCGATTATTGTTTGGAAGAGCTTCTATCGATTGCTGAAAATGACATTCTTGGACATGTTGCAGAGGAGAAAGAAGTTGGTAAAATTGCTTCAAAAATGAAAGAAACCAGGAAAAGAAAATCCTTTGAAACCCTGAAGCTGATATCGCAAAGTATTACTTTCAGGACACATGCTCTGAAGTTGCTTTCCCCCATCAAGGAACATCTTCAGAAACACCTCACGCCAGGAGCAAAGTCAAAACTTGAACAAATGCTCTCTCATATTGCTCTAGGAATTGAGTGCAACCCATCTACAAAACCAGATGAGTTGTTTATCTTTGTGTATGGGCTCATCGAAGATGGTATCGCAGGTTCTGGTTGTCACAATGGATCTGAAAACTTAACGAATAAAACATCCATCCAAGAATTATCAGATAAAAGGAATACCTTGAGTCCCAAAAGGTCAAAGAATGATCATCTTATCGTTGATTTTGCCCTTGGAGTATTAAATAACCGTTTGAAGAATATGAAGTTGGACAAGAATGATAAGCAATTATTATCAATGTTGGATCCCTTTATTGTACTGCTTGGGAACTGCTTGAATTCCAAATATGAAAACATATTGTCTAGTGCTTTTAGATGCCTGGCTCCACTAATCAAGCTTCCTCTACCTTCCTTGGAAGCACAGGCTGATAACATCAAGATTTTACTTCTAGATTTTGCTCAGAAATCTTCAAATGCTACCAATCCACTCGTACAATCTTGTCTAAAGTTGCTTACTGTTTTACTACGAAGCACTAGGATATCACTCTCACAAGATCAGCTCCACATTCTTATTCAGTTTCCTATGTTCCTTGATCTTATGGCTGACCCATCCCCGGTTGCACTTTCACTTTTGAAGTCTATAGTTGGCCGGAAGCTGGTAGCCCATGAAATCTATGATGTTATTTTACGGGTTGCTGAAGTAATGGTAACAAGCCAGTCAGAGCCAATCCGCAGGAAATGTAGCAAAATTCTACTACAGTTCCTTCTGGATTATCAACTTTCTGATAAACGCTTGCAGCAACATATGGATTTCTTACTCACTAATCTGAAGTAAGTATATCCTCTGTTTTTCATGTTGTTTATGTTTTCATTTGTACTAATGCCAATGGTCTCAATTTGCTTACAATTCCTGCAGTTATGAACATTCATCAGGAAGAGAATCTGTGCTTGAAATGCTTCATGCTGTTCTTATGAAATTTCCTAGAAATGTTATAGATAATCAGGCTCAGACATTCTTCCTCCATTTAGTTGTTGCTTTAGCTAATGAACGTGAGCAGAAAGTCCGATCAATGGTTTCGACTGTTATAAGAGAACTGATTGCCCACACAAGCTCCAATGCACTAAATTTAATTTTAGATTACAGCCTTTCATGGTATATGGGTGAAAAACAGCATCTATGGAGTGCTGCAGCACAGGTAGATGCTTTATCTTTTCTGAATATGTTATTTCGCTCAAGTAGCTGTTGACATGTCTGAATGCTTTGCAAGTTCTTTTATCAAAAAAAAAAAAAAAAAGGAATATACCTTTTTTGTGGCTAATCTTGTCTTTTATAGTAGTACTGAACTTGAAACCCCTTGGGGCTGAGGAATGTGGTTAACTGATGCTTACAGGCTACCGACAGAAGCTAGTGAATACTATTTTCTATCTACTTTATTGTTTTAAGTTTTTGTCACCTTTCAATGGTCATATTGGCACAATGTAATGAGTCATTATAAGTGTAGGCATGATGGGTCTTCAATTGGTTTTGGAATCTGTCTCTATGGATTTTAGTGTAATTAATTTACATGAGCAGTGCATATAGTTTAAACTAGAAACTGTTAAAGGGAACTACTTTACTACCGAGCACATCCACTTTAATTAGATTAATTAGATCTTCTGGTTTTTAATTACACGAATATACTAGTTCAGTTACGCATTTCAGTGACTACACATAATAATTTGGTGATTCTGCCTCTGCAATAAGAGTGAAAAACTGATGGCAGTTTTGCTTTAGACAATTGATCTTGTTTGCGGAGGTTCTAAAAGCAAAAAAATGCATGCATAATGTAGTAGGAATAATTTGAATATTGAGCTGTATTGGGTATAAGTCTTAAGTAGAGAGTGAAACTGGAAGCAAAATGAGATTGAGTTTCTGGACAGTGTACACATGCTTCAACAATCAGCTTTGAGTAATGAATATTACATGCACGCACTAAAAATGCGTCCATACAATCACTTCTAAGCCTGTAAAACATATAAGTTAAATGTGGCTACATCAATGGTTCATGTTATTTTTGTCTTTAGCTGTAAGTACATGTGTTACTTTTATGATTATGTTTCTCCAGGTTCTGGGTTTATTGGTTGAAGTACTGAAGAAGGGATTTCAGAAACATATACCTTCTGTACTACAAGTTGCAAGAAACATTTTCACATTGTCCATTAATGCCAGTAGCATTAAAGGGTTCAACTTCTCAAAGGAACCTGCAATCCCATTCTGGAAAGAGGCTTACTACTCACTTGTTATGTTGGAGGCAATTTTGCTGCCCTTCCCTCAGTTGTATTTTGACAGTGACCTTGAGGTAAGTAATAGTTCTGCCATTAATGGAATGTAACTTCTTTTCATTGCAAAAATAGCTTTTTCAGTAGTTCAGTTATATGTCCCTAGATCATGAGCATAATAGGAATTTAGGCTAAAACAACATTGGACAGTATGCTGTGATGATTTACTTTCAGACCCGGGAACTTCGGTTATCTATCATGCAATATGTTGGTTAGTGAAATTCAACACTTTTTTTTAAACTTACAGAATTCCTAGAATCCTCTCTTGCTCTATGTCATGCTCGCGCCACCTCATCCTACTGATGTTTCTCGTTGAAAAATGATCCTATCATTTGAAATTATTTTATGTTTAAAAAAACCTTATCAACTCAGAATGTAATAAAGAGGATATCTATCAAGTTAATCTAATTTAGTGACCTTATTAGATTAGTTCTACTCAAATAATTCTTAAGGACAAAACTGATTAACTATTTAGGAACCTTTGGTTGCTCAGGATTGTCTAATTACTTAATCATTCTGTAGTTAATATGGAAACAATATGAAGTGATGCGAAACGGGGTAGGGGGTCTATCAGAATCAGCGATCTAAATCAAATAAAGCACCGTTTCACCAAAATTCATGATCTTCGATAGGAAATCAAACTAAACAATTGATAGATGGATTTTAACAAGATTTGCAACGATAGTCATGAACAATTCCAATCTCAAATAATTTAATCACAATATTAATTATCATTGCACAAGTTCTAAAAATCAATATCAAGATTGCAACAGTCACATGTTCAGTTACCCTCAACTCACAAGTATAATCTAAGCAGTGAATATATGATAAGAGTTTAGAGATGAAGTACTCATGCAATTAACTAATAAATTGAAATTAATAAAAAAATACTGAGTTGAGAGAAACGAAACATCAGTGGATTACTATTCGAAAATGTTGAGAAAATCCAAAAGCCTATTAGCTACTACAGTGAAGCCCATAGCCCAACAAGTCCACACGTCACAAATCTGTTTTGATCCCTTCTGCGTTGTCTTCGATCCGATGGAAAGGGAAGCGACAGACGTTAACACGGCGATGGAGATCTGACGATGAAGGGGAGCGGCGGGCTCGAGGGCGGAGTTCGTGGACTGGGATCTGGCGGCGAAGTGCTCTCAAGTGCTCCTCACAAGATGCTGGTGCTGTGACGAATCGCGGTAAAGAGGACAGAGGATGTGGTGGTGGTTCTTGGTGGTTGGGCGGCCTGTTGGGGGTGAGGGAGGTGGCGGTTGCAGGGGTTTGACGGGCACAGGGGAAGGAGACGACGCTCGAGTTCACCGTCGGCAGAGAGGAGGGACAGTGGCGCGGGTGCGGCTCTTTGGGAGGA